GAGCTGATGGTCCAGCTGGATCGTTTCCGCACAAGAATACCCCATGGAACCATCGGTGAGATGTTTTGTGTAATTGCTACCAATCGTATCGCCCGGCGTTAGCGGGGCGCTCCTCCTTTTCTTGTAAAAATGGCCTGCACTGTGGCCGTTCAGGGAAAATTCGGGTGCTCGTAAGCTAACATCACATAGAGAGTCTGGGAGGACTTCGCTCTGATCTGCGGACTACTAGCGCTACTTGCCATTACCCCTGCCTCGCTTTTGAAACAGGCCATCTACAATGGTGCTGGGCTGCTACGAATAAATATGCGTTTCCGTAGAACAACAACTTAAAAGACTTCGGAGATCGTTTCTTTCGGTCATTACCGTGACCTCATTCTGTTCTGTTTATCTTTATCTTATCCTCTTCTCGTTTAGATGTCTGGTGGTTGAAAGATGATGGAGGTTTGACTCTCCTGCTGCCATATCTTCTGCAATTACCCGGCACCTATTTGGAAGTGAGTACTATTCCAGGGTATTCAGATTTACAAACTTTCGTGGAAATTCATAGTCGCTGAAGCTTTTACGATTGGCCTGAATTTGACTGGTAGTTCCAGAAGGCTTTTCGATAAAGCAAAGCGGTTGTATTGGTTCATTTTGTTCCACGTTGGTTCAATTCAAAAGTCGTTGTGGGATCCCAATCAAGAACAAGTATGAGGGTAGAGGAAGCTGGCCCACATGTTTTTAACGTTACAATCAATCTTCATTATAATTTCCTATTGGATGTAGAGACTACGGTGAAATTGGGGGAGAGTGACTTTCAAGACGGGGCGTTCCTCGGCGGTATTGATAGAAGCCACACTGGAATAATAGATTGTGTCCATTTTTTCACGATTGTGTCCCAATAAAGTGGGCCAATCGTGAAAAAGTCAATCGATACAATCGTACACTTTGGAAAAACTTGCTCATTTTAACGCTGAGTCTAATCGATCATCCCAAGAAACATCTCACTGGTTTCAGTTGAAGGCACAGTTCACGATAAAAATGGTTTCTGAGATTCCCCCACATGATGAATTTGAGGCCCCTGCGTACACCATATCTGGCACTATTAGGTCGGAAAACGGCCTAGTCAGGGAGTTATAAAGGCTCAAAGATTGGCCCATGTGTACCCTCGGACGAGTTTCACCGGCATTATAGAGGCTGCACTAATCACAAGGGAACCCATGTAGGAAGTTCAAACACCTTGTCGTGACCCATAGCGACAATGAAAGGCAGTTCTGTACAGTTCTGGCTTGATGTAGTCATCTGTTTGTGCAATTGCAATAACTGAAATCTCGTCCGAATACCCCTTCCATGTTATTTCTGTTCTCGTCCAACCTCTAATTTCCCTACTTTTAAGGAGCCATATTTTTCTCGAAATCGGCAAATTTTCTCGCTTTCTTCACTGCCGATGAACTATTCCCAGTCTATACTTCCGCTTTTCGCATAAAAACGTGTACCTCAAAATTGTCGTGAACAGTGGCTTAAAATATCACAGAGAAGGTCGTCGCTGAGAAAACGCAATAGGCTAGCTACGAGTCTCTTCGCTTCTCTACCTGATTTGTCCTTTGAGATTTCTCCAAATAGAGGCTTCGAAAGAGTTTTTGAGATACCACCGCTCCATGTCTGCCTGCTTTTCGTCGTCCTCACCTCCGACATTTAAACACGTACAAGTTTTTCACGAAGAAGTTGAACAGTTGAAGGGTACTTGCTATATTTTCTTGGAGCATTGATTTAAGTCCATTACTATGTTAAAAAGTAAGAAATACTGTTCGAGCAATTCCACGTAGTACCTCACCATTAGAGCTTTCATAGGTATCTAGAGTAAGGGGTAAGGATGTGCCCTATCGCGAATCAGATCGTTAGGAGGATATTTCATCTCCACTTTGAGAGAGTTTTCACCAAATATTTCTTCAGGGCGCTCGAATGCGTGTTTTCCTTGAAGGCGGACGAAGTGATCGTGTAGGAGAAGAACAAAAACATATGGCAAAGTTACTGCGTGCATTCCGTGTAGACTGCTCTGATCTGAACGTCATCACCGGATTCGACCATCCACCCAATAAATCAACGTATGCCATCATCATCTTCTCATCAGTCCATGATTCTAATAAGAAGATGTTTGATTTCTAGAATGCAAGAGTTCCAACAGTTAGTGGCTCCGTTCAAATACGGCGGAACTGAGAAGCGGGGCCTCATCACTGATGTGAGTTTAGCCTTGTCTATGCTGTAGTTTCGGAATATTTCTATAGGTTTCTACGAATATTTTTTCAGCGGTCGAAGTTACGTACATCTTTATCATGTTTTCAGGAGGAATTAGAGAATTCCTGTTTGAAAACCAACCGTTATCTAAGGACGAGAGAATTGCTTCATCAGCACAGCAGAAATGCCGATCTTATCATCGTGTAAGTTATCATTTATTATATTTCCTGAATATCCAAGTTGTGGGCATGTGACAGAGTCGTTGAGACCACCATGACGGTCTCAACGCATTGTCTGTAACAAGGACAACCAGTTGGAGAGGGAAAGTCTATTTGGGTGTTCAGTTTTAGTTTTCTAGCCCGTTCGTTGAAGGCACAGTTCGCGATAATTATGGGTAATCCAGATTATGATAAAAAATGTAAGACAAGATCGAAAATAGTGCGAGTAAGGTGAAGAAACTGCGTGAATCGGTGTTTCCAGAATAAAGAAAGGCTTGAAAAACCGTTAAAAAGTGAGCTGAACGAGAATGAGACCAGAAAAAATAAAGAAGAGTGAGGCGTTCGGACGAGCTATAC